TTTTTCTTTTTCTAAAAGGAGGGAGGATGATTGGGAAGAAAAAAATCTTTTTTTTCCTAATAATATGAAATATCATTTTCAATAATGATGACGTCATCGTATTACAATCTGGCTTTTTTTCGGGGGAGTAGATTGGGAGGCAGGGAGGAAGGGGGTAAGTGCGTGCGTATATCACGCAGATTCGATGTAAAATCGAACAATCGATCGATCAATCGTTCGATGAATTTTTTTTTTTTTTAATTAACCGAAGGAAAAATGGCGACGGTTGAGGGTGTTGTAAAAATTACTGGAGAACTTACTGGAAAATTTAATATATAAATAATAATAATAATTTTTGAGAAATGCCACCGTGAAAGAAAAGTGAAATTCAAACAATTTATTATTATTATTATTATTTAAATCTAAAAGAAAAAATTTTTTTAACGAGAGACATGATACGACGTGATGACGACAACTTCCGGTTCCTTTTCATTTCAATTTAACATCTAATTATTTAATATAAAAAAAAAAAAAGGAAAAAATGTCGTCCAAAATTTTCTCTCATTTTCTTTCGTTTCCGGTTTTAATTTAATTAAAGTCGATTTGAAAAATTTTATTTTTATAAATGAAAATTAAATTTTCATTCACCCGTTTCAAAATTCTTACATCATCATCATTATTATCATTATCATTATCATTATTAAATGTCAAATTTACGGTTTTATAAATTTATATAAAATTTTATTAAATTATTTAAATAATAATAATAATAATAATAATAATAATAAAAGTTTTGATTTTTGCGGTTTTTAAAACTTTTTATTAAAAAAAAAAATTTATAAAAGAATTTTAATAATTTTAATTTTTTTAAAAAATCAATAAATCGATAAATTATCGATTTATTACGTAATTTATTAATTATTATTATTATTATTATTATTGTTATTATTATTTTACCTGAATGATAATGATTGTTATTACGTAATTAAGATAAAGGAATGGGAAGGTTGAAGAAAATAAAAAAAAAATAAAAAACGGCAAACGCACTTAAAACAATCACAACAACCCGAACTACAAACTTTGTAATATACAAACGCGCGAATTCAAAAAAAAAATTTTTTATCTACGAAAGAAGAAAATTTTCAACATCCTTTTCCGGTGAATTTTCATCACAAACTGAAAATTTTTTTTACATTTTATTATATAAACGCACACGCTGGAAGAAAAGCGCCGCCTGACTGTTCTTTTAAATAGAAAAAAAAATTTTCTTTTTTAATAATATTTATTATTAATTTTATTTACGAATTTAAATAAAGTTTAATAATTAT